GAAGTTCACAGATCTTGTACTTAACCCTTAGATGCATAAGTGGGTATTTTTTGACCCGGTGAGGTGGTTTTCTTGAAGTATCTTTGTAATTACATTTTTTTATCATTTCATATTCCAGCTATTCCTCAAAAAACATGTGTTTGGATATCATGCCATTCAAATTTTAAATTTAAATGTTATACATTTTAAGAAATTGTAGTTTTTGTATTACTACCCCAAGCTTATAAGTGGGTATTTTTTGACCCGGTGAGGTGGTTTTCTTGAAGTACCTTTGTAATTACATTTTTGTATCATTTCATATTTCAACTATTCCTCAAAAAACATGTTTTGGATATCATGCCATTCAAATTTTAAATTTAAATTGTATACATTTTAAGAAATTGTAGTTTTTGTATTACTACCCCAAGCTTCCATAAGTGGGTCAAAAATGACCCGCATGCCTTTTCTATGGAATCCTATGGGAACCTTTGATTCTTATCACCTGTGGCTGTCAGGAATACATTCACTGTAGACCACACAGACTACATCAGAAGTAACACCTCTCAGGAAGATTATTTTACACAGCAAGATCTGATACCTGTCAGTATAATAATAATAATAATAATAATAATAATAATAATAATAATAATAATAATAATAATAATAATAATAATAATAATAATAATAATACATTATATTTTTATAGGGCTTTTCAAGGACTCAAAATCGCTTTACAATATAAAGGAAGGTTAGGATGGGGGGTATAGTATAGAACTATCAAACTTGATCAACCGGCATGGATTGATGGGGGGTGGGCTATGATGAGTAGACAAGAGGAGAAGAGATGAGTTTTGAAAAGGGACTGGAATACTGTGAGGGTCTCAGAATAGCGGAGATATTTGCATCAATATGTTCAAAAGGTTTTTTTCAAAATGTGAAAAAAAATTCTAAAATTCTAAATAGTGAAAAATTAAATATAAAATATTTCTAGTGTGAACCAAAATATAATACTACATATTATACAAGTGATTTTTCTTAACCAAAATGACAAAAATGGCATAAAAACACATATTATTCTAATACGGTCCTTTTTGACCCACTTATGGAAGAGTGTAGGGTCCAGTCACTCGTAAAAGTAGAAGAAGAGTGTAGTAATACTCTTTTACAAGTAAAATTCCTGCATTCAAAATGTTAGTCAAGTTACAAATATAAGCATTAAAATATACTTAAAGTACCTAAAGTAAAAGTACTCATTACGCAGATTGACCCATTACAGAATCATATAGTATATGTTTTGATTATAATTATTGATGCATTAATGTGTTTATCAAAGCTAGTAAAGGTGCAGCTAGTTTTAATTATATATTATATAATATTATTAATATTAATTAATATTACTATCCAAATGGGCAAAGTAACTAAATCTATGAAATAAAAGTAGTGGAGTAAAAGTACACTATAGTACCTCTCACTCAAAACTGTACTTAAGTACAGTACTTGAGTAAATGTACTTACTTACTTACGTACTTACAAAAAAATCCCAAATTGGGATCATTAAAGTTCTATCTTATCTTATCTTACCTACTTTACACCACTGCCTGACCTGTAAACTTGTAAAATGGCTGACATAATGCTACCTTACCTGAATGTCACGTCATAAGAAACGTGGATGTGGATGGATGAAACCGCAACACCAGCAACACGACCCATCGAGCGTAATGTCAGTACGTGACGACGTACAACCTTACGCAGGCAGTATAAATTCCAGCTTTCTGACGTCAGCTGTCTCTTTCCTGCCTATGCCCTGGTGAGGTGGGCAGCGTAACATTTCCTGTCTCTTTTCGCCACTAAGCGGATCCAAAACCATCCGTCAAAATGGTGAGTTGATTATTTGTTTCTGAGTTAATACTCATTTATCGTACACAAACGGTGCCGTCTACCCGAATATTGACAACTGTTTGGCCGTTTTAGCGGATAATATCCTAACTTGCATCTCAACTCTGTGGATTGTGCTTTGATCAAAATGGCAGCCATTCTGTCATTGATACCGTTAGCCAGAAGAAGGCAGGAAGAATCTAAAAAGACGATTCTCAATGGCTAAAACAAGTCGGTTGTGTTTATAATGGAGTTGAAGTTGTAATGTACCCATACTGACGCTTTTTGTAGAGGCCTAAATGTCTAAAATTAGGTGACGCTACGGTATTTCGCCGGCTAACTTTCACAGCTTTGCCTCAACGTTAGCCATTGCAAGGGAAATGACATCAATATGTATGTGACCATGGACGTAAGCTGAATAAGGACAAGTGGCTGTTTTTGAAATCTGATGCGTACGATTGTGCCGTGTTTGTTTTTAATTGTAGCGTTGAGGAGAGATTATTTCCCATCGACCGTCCCCTAGCTAAAGTTAGCATGTAGCATTATGTCAGTATGTACACGTGGCCTATTCGTGCCGACATATTATGCCGGTGATGGCTTGTTTGAATATGCTTTGACAACAGTTTTGGAAAACGTCAATATATCACTATATTGATACACAGACAATGGGTTGAAATAAAAGATATGCTGAATGGATATACTGTTTGTCATGACTCATAGCTATTATGAGTGGGGAAAACGCCCTGGGTGGAAGTACAGAACGGGTATCGTTGCGTCAGCAGATTTTCGATATGCTGCAGATGCCTTGCAGTCTTGCCATGTTTGCACTTTATTTGGATTTTTTGTGAATTATCTAATTTGATTTTTTCCTTCCTCAGGTGAACTTTACAGTCGACCAGATCCGTGCCATCATGGACAAGAAGTCCAACATCCGTAATATGTCTGTGATTGCGCACGTCGATCACGGCAAGTCAACTCTGACAGACTCGCTCGTGTCAAAGGCTGGCATCATTGCCTCATCTCGTGCCGGAGAAACCCGTTTCACCGACACACGTAAAGATGAACAGGAACGTTGCATCACCATTAAGTCAACGTAAGCATCATATTATATTTTCCAACTGTTCTTCTACATTGCTTCACTTATGTACGTAATGTCCTCAGTGGTTGCCCTTGTTTAGTCCTGGCTACCAGTACAACACAAATTGTGGTTTTTAGTCTCCTTTCGTAGGGGTCAGAGTTAAAACTACAAACCTTTGTGTTTTTGGGAACAAAATGTGTTCCGTCTCTTAAAATCTTCAGTGATATGCATGTCAACAATGCAGAAATACTCAACATGTTACGAATAGTCATATCTATTTTTTTTTTAGTAATCTTTGAAATGTTACATTTGGCATCTGACATGTTCTAACACATTTACTTTAATTGCAGCGCCATCTCCCTCTTCTACGAACTGGCCGAAACTGATTTGGCCTTCATTAAGCAGACCAAGGATGGCGCTGGCTTCTTGATCAATCTGATTGACTCTCCAGGTCACGTTGACTTCTCCTCTGAAGTGACTGCTGCTCTCCGTGTCACTGACGGAGCCCTGGTTGTTGTGGACTGCGTGTCTGGTAAGGACAAGGCTGAACAATCCTCTGTAGCCTATGCATACTTCCACTGTGATCTCCATTTTTACTTTGCACTTTTGTTTCTTTGCACATGCTACAGAAAAGCTCTGTGTGCTGACCTGCGATGTGAATAATTGAGATGCTTGCGTGAAACTATGCACAGCTACACTGCTGCTTATTTTGCCATTAAATTGCCTCATTGACTCCCTGCCAGGTGTTTGTGTGCAAACTGAGACCGTGCTCCGTCAGGCCATTGCTGAGCGCATCAAGCCAGTCCTGATGATGAACAAGATGGACCGTGCCTTGTTGGAGTTGCAGCTGGAGCCTGAAGATCTTTACCAAACTTTCCAGCGTATTGTTGAGTCAGTCAACGTCATCATCGCCACTTATGGAGAAGAAGATGGGCCGATGGGACATCTCCCGGTAAGTGGCTGTAATGAGGATCCATGTTTCACATGACTTTTCGGTGCATTCAAAACAACCATAAAGACTTGTCTTAATTACAAAATAAATCTGATTTCTGTTGTAAACTTTGAGCTTAATAGATGCGACTGTGCCTGCAAGTGATGATTTGAAACATTCTTCACTTTGACCTGAATATCCAGTGATGATAACTCTCACTCTGAGCAGCACACAGAAACATTGTTTTGCTTTAACATTCTTGTCTTGGTCATGTAACTGCAGTCCACTAATTAAATGATATTGTTTAGGTGTTCAATGCTATCATGCACTTCAACAAAAAGGAAACTGGGATCCATGTTTCACATTACTTTTCTGATTCCTGTGGCATGAAAAGCATGTGTTTTTAATGTGATACCAAGGTCATTGGTACATTTTCACTCTTGTGGTTTAGCTCGGTTCTGTAACTTTACATTTTTAATTTCTAGTTAAAGACATTTGAGGATCCAGTTTCTGAACTGGATAGCCACACAAAAGGTGTCCCTGTAGTACTGTCCAATTTAATAAAAAAATCAACAGCTAGATAAGTTATCATAAATTGGAAAAAGCTCTTCAAGTCTTTTCATGTCTGGATTTGTTATGTCTTCACTTAAAGGTCTCCCCAGTGATTGGCACTGTGGGCTTTGGCTCTGGGCTCCATGGCTGGGCTTTCACTCTGAAGCAGTTTGCTGAAATGTATGCAGCCAAGTTTGCTGCCAAGAGCAACACCCAGATGAATGCAGAGGAGAACTGCAAGAAGGTTGAAGACATGATGAAGAAGCTGTGGGGTGATAGGTGAGTCTTTAAAACAGATCTTGATTAACCTATCAAGTGCAAGCAATAAAGGAACTTTTATGACAACATGTACTGTGTTGTTAAATCTTGACACTTTGTGCATTTCTCTAGGTACTTTGATCCTGCCACTGGAAAGTTCTACAAGTCTAGCAATCTACCTCCAGGTTCCAAGCTCCCCCGTACCTTTGTTGCTCTCGTCCTGGACCCCATTTTCAAGGTAACGTGAAAGGGCAGTTTAAAAGCAGCGCTAAATACATTTGTAATTAGAATTTTCTGTTGTAAACTTTGAGCTAAATAGATGTGCCTGCAAGTGATGATTTGAAACATTCTTCACTTTGACCTGAATATCCAGTGATGATAACTCTCACTCTGAGCAGCACACAGAAACATTGTTTTGCTTTAACATTCTTGGTCATGTAACTGTGCAGTCCACTAATGAAATGATATTGTTTAGGTGTTCAATGCTATCATGAACTTCAACAAAGAGGAAACTGCCAAACTCCTCAGTAAGCTTGAGATCAAGTTGGATAATGAGGACAAGGACAAGGAAGGTAAGCCTCTTCTGAAGGCTGTGATGCGTCGCTGGCTGCCTGCCGGAGAGGCTCTCCTTCAGATGATCACCATCCACCTGCCTTCCCCCGTCACTGCCCAGAAGTACCGCTGCGAAATGCTCTACGAAGGACCTATGGATGATGAGTGTGCCATGGGTATGAACTTTATTTATTTTACATATTCTCATACACAGGAATTGGAAGTTTCATCATGCATATCAAATGATGAATTCTGTAATTTCATTGAGACCCAGGTACTAAGCAAGATGTTGCTTTGGTTTTTCAGGTATCAAGAACTGTGACCCCAAGGCTCCTTTGATTGTGTACATCTCCAAGATGGTACCCACCAACGACAAGGGTCGCTTTTATGCATTTGGTCGTGTGTTCTCTGGATGCGTCTCCACTGGCATGAAGGTACGCATTATGGGACCAAACTATGTCCCTGGAAAGAAGGACGATCTCTTCATTAAGCCGATCCAGAGGTGAGTCATTAGCTATTTGATATGCATCCGTTATACGATTTAAATAAACAGATATGTCATATCAAAATTGTGTTTTCTTTCTTCCCTACGCACACATTACTCTTTAACAGGACCATTTTGATGATGGGTCGTTATGTTGAGCCCATTGAGGATGTGCCATGTGGTAACATCTGTGGTCTGGTTGGAGTGGATCAGTTCCTTGTCAAGACTGGAACAATCACCACCTTTGAGCAGGCACACAACATGAAAGTGATGAAGTTCAGTGTCAGCCCTGTCGTGAGAGTTGCTGTGGAGGTCGTAAATCCTGCTGACCTGCCCAAGCTGGTGGAGGGTTTGAAGCGTCTGTCCAAGTCTGATCCTATGGTGCAGTGCATCATTGAAGAGTCTGGAGAACATATTGTTGCTGGCGCTGGAGAGTTGCATCTGGAGATCTGTCTGAAGGATCTGGAGGAGGATCATGCTTGTGTTCCACTCAGGGTAATGGGGAAATAAGAAAGAAAAAAAGAAAAAAAACAATATTGCTAAAGGAAAACTTGTTTTGACATATCTTGTTTTCTTTTTAGAAATCTGATCCAGTGGTGTCCTACAGGGAGACGGTCAGCGTGGAATCAAGTGTGGTGTGTCTCTCAAAGTCCCCCAACAAGCACAACCGTCTGTTCATGAAGGCTGCTCCCTTGGAGGATGGTTTGGCAGAGGCCATTGAGAAGGGTGACATTACACCTCGTCAGGAGATGAAACTCCGTGCCAGATACCTTGCTGATACTCACGACTGGGATGTTGGAGAGGCCAGAAAGATCTGGTGCTTTGGACCTGATGGAACTGGCCCTAATCTTTTGGTGGATGTCACAAAGGGAGTGCAGTACCTTAATGAGATCAAGGATAGCGTTGTGGCTGGCTTCCAGTGGGCAGTCAAGGAGGTAAGCAGACTGATGTGCATATAAATTCACTGAACAGCTTTAATAGTCATGTTCGTATAGCATCTTGTATCAGGTTTATTTATTTCAAGAAATTGTTTTTTTGTTCTCTGGATTCAGTTTATTTACAATTGGTGTCTCTGTCTTTAGGGTGTCCTCTGTGAAGAGAACATGCGTGCCGTTCGCTTCAACGTCCATGACGTGACCCTGCATACAGATGCTATTCATCGTGGTGGCGGTCAGATTATTCCAACAGCTCGCCGATGCCTGTATGCATGCCAGCTCACTGCAGAGCCCAAAATGATGGAGCCAGTCTACCTGGTGGAGATTCAGGTATGTGTCACCAAAGTTTCAAGATGCTCAAATGCCTCAATCAATATTTTGCCCATTGTGATTGAATGTGGACAATTGGTGCTTCTTAAAATGTTTGCCAATAGATAATCTTACTCATTAAATCCACATAATTTAGTGGGAAAGTAAAAAAAGAATAGTCTGGTCGATTTAGAAAATTGCTAAGCTTCACTGTAATGCAGCCTTTAGCAGAAACTATATCTAAGCCCATATATCAATACTGCATTCATCAACTTCCCCTCGTTTCAACAGCCTTAGTTTTCAGCACTTGGCATGCCTGTGATCTCAAAAAGGTAACTGTTGTCTGTACGACCTTCTCCTTTGCAGTGTCCCGGGTCTGCTGTCGGTGGAATCTACGGTGTGTTGACCAAGAGACGTGGTCACGTCTTTGAGGAGGTTGCTATCCCAGGAACACCCATGCGTGTCACCAAGGCCTTCCTGCCTGTCATGGAGTCATTTGGTAAGTTGTCTTTTCATAAGGGTGATTTGTTCAGAATAGAGCAGCAGAACCCTTAGTTCCCAAGCCACTGTTTGTATGCAACCTGATTTTACTTACCGGTAATATATACATTTTAGTCATCTCGCAAATGAATTTATTATCAAGCTCTTGGCAGAAATAAGTCTTGGTGCTTGCGGTCAACTTTTAGTTGGACTTTAGAAGTTGGTCTGTTTGTTGTGGAATAACCACTATCAAACATAACATTCATAACTAACAATATTCTATTGTATTTATTAAAAAAAATGTATTCAGTTTGTACCACACTACTTGCAATTAGAAAAAAATGATCATTTTGGAAGATTGTTTTATTTGACCCGAACAGAAAATGGAAGAAAAAGTTGTTGGAGCGATGTCTCTTCAATCCTTAAGGCTAAAAGTAGTAGGCTAATAAACTCTGAAGAGTGGCAGTAATGCTGAGAGTAATTAAGTATATTGCCTGTTTTTTTTAGTCATACATCAATGGTAACATCCCCAAATAAACCAAAGAACATTTCTGTTCATCAAATATATTGATTGTACCATTATAAGGCATTGCGTCAGTGCAGTCTTTATTACAGTAATATAGCAAACGTTTCAGCTCTCCACACATAGCAGTTGGATTCACTTATCAAATGTTCACTTCCTCATATGTGACTTGTGCATTATCCCTCATTGTAATTGTTGGGAGGGTATAACGAGCATACTTTGCTGTGTCTATTCCCAGGTTTCACAGCTGACCTTCGTTCCCACACTGGTGGCCAGGCCTTCCCACAGTGTGTGTTTGACCACTGGCAGATCCTCCCCGGAGATCCAACCGACCCTGCGTCCAAGCCCGGTATTGTTGTCACCGACGCGCGCAAACGCAAGGGGCTCAAGGAAGGTGTCCCATTGCTGGATAACTACCTGGATAAAATGTAATCGCTTTGACTACACTTGGCTCTCGCCTCATTCCTCCCTTCCCAAAAAATTAAGTCTACATTGGGGGACTGGACTATACAGAACAAAGTGAGCACTAAAGTTTGCCAAAAGGATTCAAAATAATGAATAAACACCCACAAAAATTGTAAACTATAAATAAAATAAAAATAAAAACCAATGATAACGGCGTTCTTGTTTCTTTATAACATGTTGAAGCTGACTTTTCTGTCATGTCTTTTCTGCCACAATTAAAACCATGTCTAGAGACATTGTGCTTATGTCATAAGGTACTATCTGGGATCATGGGACGGTTCACTGATCTTTCCCGCTGCTTCTCCCGCTTAGTATTCATTGTTAACAAGGTTTTTGTCAGAAGGTGACTATCTTGTCTCAAGTCAAAAGCATCAGCTGAACAGAATATCTCAGAACGCCTGAGGCAGTGTCTGTTGACCGAGGATGAACTCTATTGAATTTGATGGTCAAAGTCACTGACTGCCTCACTGGGACAAAGTTATGGTATGACATTGTGGACTCATAAACTGCAAGACGGTAATTCTATTATATGGAACATAAAGTCCTAGGTGGGTTTAACGAGAAGTAAAAATGTCTTCTCTGAAACAAATGGACCCTGTATTTAAAGACACTGAATAAAGTTGTTTCTCTGACTGCTGCTAAAATTTGCTTTGCTTGTTTTTTTTGTTCGAAGATCCATAACTTCACTGCGGCCACTATAGGTTAGCAAATGTGTTGTAGCATAATTGGAAACTTTAGAGAACTACACAACTCAACCAAACATGAAACCTAAGGTCAGGTTAAATATAATGCAGCCATAATGCATGTACTTCTAACGCTACATTTAGGAGATAAAAGGGTTTGGATGTTCATTCTAGTTGAATTAATCTTATACAACAATATTTTACAATTTGTTTTCAAGGAATCCGCTTTATTCAAATTATAATTTTCTTTTCTTTTTTAAAGCACTTTAAATGGCTATTGTGTGTGCAACTAGAGTTTATCTTTAAGGATGTACACTTTGAAAGACAGCTGATGTTTGCTGTGTCTGCGGTGCTACTACAGCTGACACAAGTTCAACTGCCCCAGAATATTAAATAAGTTTGTAAATCTAATGCTAAATATTGCAGATAAATGGTATCAATAACTGAACATCTTCATTTATAGTCATAGCTGGAAGAGTTGTGCCTTTTATTGTTACGGTTTACAATAATGTGATAGCCTGCTTTCTATAAGATCTTTTAAATGTATATTAAAATATATGTGCATGTTTAATACTGCAAAGTATGTGGCCATGGTTTTCAGTGAAATTCATTCTTGATTTGTACTTAGTTTTAAATGTCTAAACATTACAAGAATTTCAAAATGGGAAATCAAACATGACTGGGTTAATAATACTTATTTCTGTTGTGCTCCAGATGACGGTGAAGAAACCTACAATTAAAAATTGTGTTCAATATTCAATTAAGAGATCTCTTTTTTCCAAACATTGGCAGTATACCAGCAGCTTATATTACCACCAGTCACTCAACGGCAAACATCCAATAATGATTATAGTTAGAATTCTTAGCAATTAACAAATATGGTTCATTTCTGGAACTGATGGATACCAGTTAAAGTGTTAAGGTAAGTGGATCTATATTTATGGCAAAAAAACGAAAGAGGACATCAGTTTCCCCGACTCTACAAAGGTGATCTTAAAAATCTCTGGGTCTCTATTATACAGCATATATTTTTGTACCACACTGAGTGTCATATTTTCTAACAAGTAATGTACATTAAATATGTCGTTTTTGGTCAGTTATGTCATTAAATATTTTGTAAATGTAAACAATAAAACTGATTCCTGTTGTTAATGTGAGGATGACTTATTCCTTTGAAATACTGTCATAATGTTGATGTTTGGACTGCTTTTTGGACAAAACTAACATTGTGAAAGTCCTTTTTTAACACGTTTTACAAACACAATACAATAATCAGATTACTATACTCAAGTGATGTAATGTACAGGACTGATTAACAAGCTCTCTTTTCATCTCCAAACTGAATAAACTTCATGTTTATGTATATGACACACATGCAGAAGAGATACTGCTGTTGCTGCAGCATACTGTTGATGTATAAACGTATCATTTGTTAGCCCACCCATATAACCAGCAGCTATAACTGAATTAATATTTCAAAATGACAACAGTCAAATCCAGCCTTTACATGAATTCATGAGCAACAACAATGTAGTATGTAATAACAGTCACAGCAGGGGATATGTTTAGATTTTCCTGATTATACTTACATACTTAAAGGGTTAATAATATTGAATGCAGGACCTTTGAGATAAGATAATTCTTTATTAGTCCCACAATGTGGACATTTCCAGTGTAACAACAGCAAAGGGACAGACAGTGCAACACCAAGAGGAAGTAGAACAATAAACAATTTGACCGTTAAAACAAATATCGTGGACAGACTAAACATCAAATTTAAATTATTGTATAAATGATATCGCAAATAATATTGATAGTGCACGTAAACATATAACAAATAATTATAACGTATTATATAGGACCCACTGGTTTTTTAGTGGGGTTCATGGGAATATGCAGCCAACCAATCACGACTCTGCATGCCGATCGACCGACCAATCCGATGGCAGGAAGGGTTCTCTTCCTGTTTGGCCGGAGGAATCATTTTTCGGTGAGTAAAGAAGACGTTTATCCCCCAAAAAGTATGAATAATGTATTCAATCTGCCTTTTTCCGGTGTGACTTAACGTTATTTTATATAGCATATATATTTCAGTTTTTTACATGTGAAGATATAGCCGTTTGGATTACCTTTGTATCCGTTGTTTGTGAACAGTTAGCCGCTATAAAGAACAGCTAGCAGCCAGGTTAGCTTCATAATGGTGATTTGTTTTTTGGTTTCTTATCTGTTTTAATACTTCTCCTATATTATTGTGTACAGACTTTTCACCCGGATTTAACCCTTACAGATTAAGAGTAATTGCCATTTTCACATCTACATACTAAAACATTTATATGTGCAAAACATACTTTTTATAATATCTAAAACCTTAATACGTTCATGTCCATTTAAGATAACGTAAATAATAAGATAAGATATACTTTATTGATCCCAATGTTTTCGTCAGAGCAGCATATATAAGACATTGCACATGAATTAAAGGTAAATACAATACAATGAAAGTAAAAGTTGTCGTTGCAGCCTAATCAATAGAGCAGCTGTTGTCTCAAAGATTACAACACTTTCATTAAGTTTTACACTTTTATTTTTTTTTACACCAGGATTTCCTTCACAAAAACAATAAAGATATACATTTCAGCAGTAGAAGATAAACAAACTATGCTGCTACTTGTTTGTTTGTTTGCCTGGATGAGGACTTATTTGTCTTTCTTTTGTGTGGAGCTATTTAGATCTGCTCACACCAGCAGGTCGAGGAAATGTACACACAAGTCGTGCCGAGACGTTAAGGATTAGTTCTCTTACCTCCAACACACAGCAATGACATTTATTAAATGCGCTAATAGTGCAGGGTCCAGCTTCTTCACCAGCTTCCGTAATTGAGCCAATCTGTGCAGAATTCAGCCTGAGGATGAAGCGTCGGGCTGGAGATGGAGAAGCCAGCCGTCAGTGGCAGAGACCGGGCCATGTGCTTTTTCTATATATTTATCATGTTAGCTACTTTATAATCTGTAGCCTTTTATCTGCTATTTCACTTTTGCTGTAACACTGTAAACATGCGGGACTTATAAAGAAATTCTGATTCTGATCGTCCAATACACAGAGATCATGGGAGGGATCAAACAAGAGCAGAGTGATGCATCGAATCAGTCCAAACCTTCACATTCAGCAGACCAACCACCAGAGGAGGTGAGTTACATGTGACAAGGATTAACAACTCGCTTTGTAAATTACTTTAATAAAGCCTCCTTATTCCCATGCACTGTTTGTACAAGTCACTTTGACCTGCACTCACATCTGCACACATACATGTCAATATATTAAATAACCCGGACTCAAATATGTATATATGTTCATTCAAATGATCAACGTTTGACCTTGTTGTGATATATCGTTTTAACAGTTACTTATATAATGTTGTTTTTAATTTGATTATCCTCTTGTGAATCTTTACTGTCCTGTTTTTCACTCTCCCTCTGTTGCTGCTTTAAACACCTGGATTTCCCCACGGGGATAAATAAAGGTCCATCTTATCTTATCTTAGTTGGATGAATAAGGCTGTCTAACCAAACATGTAATCATTAGGAGTTAAACTGTTACCTCTCCACTTAGTTGCCATTTTATTTTTACACTATTACGCAATTACACACACCTTGCAAAACATTCTACCTTCATTAGCGTTACATTGTTACAGGAGGAAAACTATTATTAGAAATGTATTTAATTTTACAAGGCAGGTGGAGTATTTATGCTCTTATGAGGATATCCTATTAACAGTTTGGGCAGAATAATAGAAATCAGCACAAACAGTGTTCGTATATAAAAATTGACCGCAGACAGAAAAAATACCTTTCATTTTTACACAATTCACGTCAACAGCACCACTAACCAGATTCTAAATGAGCAGATCAAATAAAACCTCTGAAACAATGTCAACAAATACCTAACATTAAAACCTTCATGAGGTGTGTAGAGTAATAATAATAATACATTACATTTATAAAGCGCTTTTCCTGGTACTCAAAGCGCTTACAAGCAAGTAAAACAAAATAACAACAAAAGTAGAAAGTGCTAAGCTAGGTGGAATAAGGGCAAGGGGTTAGGTGATTAGGAGTTGAAGGCAAGAGTGAAAAGGTGAGTTTTTGAGGGATTGTTTGAATGATGTGAGAGTGTTGGCGGTTCTGACGTGGCTGAGGAGGGGGTTCCAGAGTGTGGGGGAGGCTGCAGCGAAGGCCCTGTCACCCCAGGTCCAGAGCTTTGTCCTGATGGGCTGCAGTAGGTTAGCTTCAGCAGACCTGAGGCGACGGGTGGTTGGCAAGGTTGTTGAGGGCTTTGAAAGTGAAAAGTAATATTTTAAAGTCAATGCGGTGTTTGATGGGGAGCCAGTGGAGGTCATGGAGGATAGGGGTGATGTGGTCGTGTAGTAGTGCTGGACCAATTCATTGATCAACCTAAAATAAATGAGGAAACATTTCTGATTATTTTATACATCATTTGAGACATGTTTGAATAAAAAATCGCCAAAATAATTTGGGCTGTAGCTTTTTCAAATGGGAATACCTGCTGCTCTTTATGGTCATCATTGATTGTCATTTTTTTGTTGTAGTTTTAGACAGTTTTTGTCATTCAGGACAAGCTATATAGCAGTTCGGGATTTGAAATCAAATATGAAGTGCTTTATAAATGGAACCCATTATTATTATTATTATTATATATTGCCTATTTGTTGACATTGAGCGTTGACGATGACCTGCCCGTTGTTTCCCCCCTCTCCAGCCAAAGAAGAGAGGCTGGCCGAAGGGAAAGAAGAGAAAGAAGGTGCTACCAAATGGTCCCAAGGCACCAGTAACTGGATATGTCCGCTTCCTAAATGAACGTCGGGAACAAATGCGGGCCAGGTACCCTGACTTACCTTTCCCAGAAATCACCAAGAGACTTGGAGCAGAGTGGACACGATTGGCCCTGAATGACAAACAGGTAGTTATACATATTTTGCAAGTATGCACGTCACAAGTTTTTTTTTTAACAAAGTATGTTCAGTACAACCCATGACTGTGAGCAGTGGGTATTAATGATGCTGTATTACTTGGCCTGTTGGACGAAATGTCATAAAGATGTTGGAGACATTGATTTCTGTTGTTCGATTTTTTTTTTTATTAAAGATATTTCTCATCAGCGTTGCTTTTATTCTTGATAGTTGTGAAATGTGCATGCTGAAAAAGCTTTTAAATGAAGAACTGTTCCCTCATTAAAGCTTCCCAACATTATTTGCAATGATAGCGCTACCTTGACGAGGCAGAACGGGAGAAGATCCAGTATGCTCAGGAACTGAAGGAGTATCAGCAGACGGAGGCCTTTCAGATCACCACTGCTAAGATACAAGACAAGAGGATCAAGAAAGGTGACGACTCTGCTTTACTTACTCATATAGAAAACATCACAAGGGCAAATAGCAAGAAACTGCTTAGTTTTTAGCTTTTGACTCCATGCATTGTGTGCTATAATAACCACATGCAACGTTATCTTGCAGAGGACACTCCGTCTGTCATCATCAGCACTCGTTCAGAGCCATCTATATCAAAGGTACATGACATCCATGTTTTGCCACTGTATATTCTGCAATGTATTTTTACATACATTTTAAACATCGAAGTTGTCCATTTGCTGTTGATGTCCTTTAGGCTTCTGACCTCACAAGCAGGTTCGACATTCCTATCTTCACAGAAGAGTTCCTCGATCAGAACAAAGGTAACAGAGAAAAACTGATGATGATCATTCCAATATATCGTCCAACGTATCTTATGAGACATTATCTTCAATTCCTGTTAAATGTCTCCCTCTGTGGTTCCAGCTCGAGAGGCTGAGTTGCGACGGCTTCGTAAAGCCAACATTGAGTTTGAGGAGCAGAATTCAGTGCTTCAACGACACATTAAGGACATGTACAATGCTAAAGAGCGCCTGGAGGCTGAACTGGGGCTGGATGAAAAGCGGACGCAGGCTCTTCACCAACACTTGCTGGCCATCAAACACACACTGGTCAACAGTCTGTCATCAGTCCCCTTACCAGGTCAGCAACTATTATTTCACAGGAGAAATGCAGGAATGAAGAAAGATGGATGATAAATGAAATGTTCTGCCATTTTATCGTATTTTGATGCTAGAGTTTGTCCCGTAGTATTAATGCATTGGTGCTGTTAGCAATGTTAATCGACGAGTAAACAGTATTTTCATTAATACATTTGAGAAAACGTATACCCTAAGAGTTGGATTGCCAAACCGTGCTGGAATGTAAATGTATTTCAACTTGAGTGGATGTCTTGATTTAATTATTTTGTGACTTTTCTGAACAGATACAGGTGAGACAGCATCTCATGGGAACTTGGACTCATACCTGACTCGTCTCAATGGAGTGCTGGAGGGCAACCCTCACAAGCATCGTGCACTGCTCTCCCAGCTCTGCGAAGTCCTCTCTCATCTGGACGGGTAACTTGTATATCCCTTACTCAACACAGTAGGATTGTATTGGTTCCAACATGAGGACCATTGCTTTACTCTTAAGATTCTACCAATAAGGAGCACCGTTTTTCGAAAACATAGTCAAGTGTGATTTACAACACGCATCTTTCAAGGTTTGAAACCCATATAATATATCAATATGTCTGAATATTTGCCAATTTACTAACATGTGGGCTTTAATCTATTGACAGTGAGAAGTTATGAGGAGACTCCAGCCGGATGGATTCCCACTGCTGCATCACAGGGACACGATACAGGCTCGGCAGGATTAGGTCAAATCAGTGCCATTCAACAGAGCATGTGGATATCTCAAGGATAGTAAAGGCAAGGGTGAAAACACTTCAAAACACCACCCACGCAGGCCCTGCCTCTTCTTTATGAATGTGTCTATTCATGCACAAGCGCATTTGTAAATGCAAATATTTGTGGCGTTGATGAGGGTTTTTAATAGTTCAGGAATTCCATTAAATATAAGGTAATTATATCTTCTGAACAGCTTTAATTAAGTCAAATTGGTTCGACCCTTACCCTTTTGTAGTGTCAGCAGTTACCTACAGGCACATGACCTGTCCAATAAGACAAGCCTAATTATTAGTTTACAGTGAATGCCCACTTGCATTACGGGGTTGGGGAATGTGTATGTTGTATTATTTAGAATGCATTAAAAATAAAACAACTGGAAAGAGTGAAAATCAAATGTTGGGTTTTGAATTTGTGTGTTTACATTGATGATGTTAGGTTGTTTAATGGACAAAACACGCTGTCCGAACATTATATATTTGTATTTTCTGAAATGTTCATTAAACCAAACTGAAAATGTTTGTGTAATTTTGCTTTTTTTAAATTGTTGTGAGATACGTGTTGTTATTTTTACAAGACAACTGTTGTTTTCCTGTCAAATCAAATGGAATGAACTGGCAAAACATGTTTATTTTTATTTTGAACCAGACCCTGGAGGAGTCTGTAAAGATGCAGTAAATGTTTTGTTCCAACAGGGGGAGCTGTGCGCCCACAATGGGGGGAAAAGTCTTACTGAAAGGATGCAGGTGTTATGACCTGCAGTAATTATGCAACAAAGTTAATAATGACTGATTTTGCCGATGGGATTCTCAGGCCACAAGAGGACACAAAGATGTGTTGTTTATGACATGATCTAAAGTGTAATTTTATCACCAACAATTCATCTACTTTTAGTCAACTATTACTAAATACCCAAGCTGCATTATTCATGTTCATCATAATTACTTTATTACTGCTAAAACATAATTTCATGGTTAGGCTCTGCCAGAGGACTCCATATTTTCCCCTATAACTAACACTATTGCTGTCAAGCAAGAAGAATGTATTTGACTCACTTATCACTGTTTAATTCAAAGTAAGGCTTGGTCATATTGTCAAAATCAATGTTCAGAGTAATCTTCCCTAAATACCCTCATGTTGATATTATGATATTTTCCAAGGATTCTCTGAGATATTTAGACGTCTGTTACAAAAAGAGGGAGAGGCTAATAATCAGTTGTTTTAGCCCCCCCCCCCCCCTTCACACAGCATCACGCCGCCCTGACGTCACTGCCAGGAGCTGTCCACGCAGCGGCGGTGCTGAAGCTGAACAAGATGGCTGTGTGTTGGGCAGCGGAAAGCTGAGAGAAAAGGGGGGCAAAGAGTCTTAAAATAAGGAAGACAGGCCATAAAAAAGACAGAAAGGATTGCGACGCTAGCGTTCACTCTCGAAGTGTAAAGATTTTTTATTTTTGTCAGGCCGAAGAGTCCTGCCAGGCCCGGTCTCTGCCACTGACGGCTGGCTTCTCCATCTCCAGCCCGACGCTTCATCCTCAGGCTGAATTCTGCACAGATTGGCTCAATTACGGAAGCTGGTGAAGAAGCTGGACCCTGCACTATTAGCGCATTTAAGAAATGTCATTGCTGTGTGTTGGAGGTAAGAGAACTAATCCTTAACGTCTCGGCACGGCTTGTGTGTACATTTCCTCGACCTGCTGGTGTGAGCAGATCTAAATAGCTCCAGATCTTATCTTCACTGGTTTTGGGGATTCACCTTTGCAAAAATAATCCGTCCATTGATAACATTTGTTACTAAATGAGGGTTTTTCTTGCAAATCTTATACATTTTCGTTTCATTTTGACTAATATACCCTGAAACAAATCCCCCCTAGAATGAAAGCCGGGCTCATTTAAAAAAACAAACATCCATTGCTACAACCGGATCGATTTGTGGAGTAGGTGTATGCTTTCTATAGCAGCCGCTGTCAAACATAGTAAAACAAGACATAAACCACTCCGTTTTCCCCGGAGGACCAGAAGCGTAGGGTGTTTCTTGTATAATGTCACACAAAAAAAAACACTTTGAGGCAAAAAATTATCCAAAGTGCAGACATTTTTTGCGTAATAGTGTTGGACAAAAAGGCGTGTTCATTAGCATACCGGGTGCATTTAAAACCGGATATTTCTATAAGCCACGTGATTGGCTGCAGCGTTTTTCTAATGATTTCTTATATTGATTATGATCTATGACAACTGCAACCTCCTCTGTCTTTAAATAGTTCAAGATAACTCAATGCTGCTCAAATTGGTGTATAAACACTCAGCAACTCACCATATTGCAGTGTACTGCAGCTCCAATGTCTTCCTTAAGTTATTGATGGTGTGTTTGTATTTTTTTCGATTAAGTCCATGGTGTTATCTGTTATTATGTATTTCTTCAATGAAACAATATAAAATGGACGTTAAAGAGGAAGTGATAAGCCCTTAAATGTCATCCAGTCACTGTAATTATGAAACATTTCCAGGCTGAGCATATTAGGCTGTCTAACAAGTATCTGGGTGTTCATTGCGGATTGTGTATAGACATTTTTTGACCACAAGCTCGAAAAAGGAGCAAAATACTCCAATCTAGTTGGACTTTATTTCATCTTATTTACATATTATGAGCCCTTAGCTGTAAGATATAATTTAAACTGAAATTGTGTTACTGTCTATGATGAAACTCAATAGATAGAGCAACATCCCTAGTGACATTTTTCAACTTATCCTGGAGATATCATGTAGCCTTACCAGAATCTTAAAGTTAAACCCTCATAAGGATTATAAATGCCCCCATTTTATAGAACATTACATGTTTTTACACATCCTCTAAGCAGGGATACGTTATCCATATCCTAACGTAATTCTTTCAACACATGGCAGGCTTTTGAAGAGACAATGACTTGATGCAGGACAACATATTGAATTTGGCTTTCAACGGTACTGAAACTCTATTAAATCGTCAATTAGTTTCCCAAGTTTTTTTCTCATCTAATAAATATGGTGCCTGACTTATCAGGAAACTAAAAGGGAAAGTTAGAAAAGTGATTCCTTGAAGCTTCTTCAGATGCCTGTGAGGCAGGAGCCACTTGAAGTGTGTGAAGAGGATGCTGTGTTGTTGACACCAGAGCTTGAGCTGATTGCACAGATGTCAGGATTACGATCTGGGCCTGTTGAGGGGGTCCCTTTATATCCTGAAGCTTTGTTGGCATAGCAACCCCAATGGCATTTTAGATCTCTGCTGCTGGCATTTTGTCATTATTTTATACACACTGTTAGAGGCCCGCAGCTAGATTTATATTGATACTATATTTTTTTCATTGTGGCTGAGAGAAAAATGAAGAAATAAGGAGAATGGCAGTTTACCTTGAACTGCACAGTAACACGGGTTCGGCTGATATACAATGCAGCAGCAGCGTTCAGATATACGTCTATACTTCACTTTCATGTGCCACAGAAGCGAAATAAGCGTATTCAGATCTGGCAACCATCCTCTAACTGTCACCCCCTGTAGCGAGATGACAATTCATGATGCATTATACCTTATAACAGGGTTAGCCTTGAGATATTCTTATTAGTGTCACCCTCCTCATTAAGGCAAACATATAATAGAGACTTTGTACATATGTATGCAGATCTTTAGGGACGTTTTTTTGGTCAGAAAGTCCAGAATAAGAAATGGCAACAAAGAATTAGCTAGTTCATTACCACTTCAAACACACTGCTGCGTTACTGTTATAATGAACAGGGTTGCTGGAGGTCTGAAAACAGTTAGGAAAAAATATCAGTTGTATGGAAATAACAATATATACATACTTACTGCAGCATTATGTGGTTAATGATTCCAAGGCTGAAGATACTGTTTAAATACTCTATGGTCTGAAAGGTTTATAGGCAGACGGTTTAAAGTCTGCAGTCTTTATATTTTTTACTTACATTTCCAGATTTGAATGTTTCTCACAGGTTTTTAAAGGTGTAATTTGTAACATTTCCTCATTAAAAGGTCTAAACATTTGTAAACCTATAAATATTTGTTGTATAATAATAATAATAAATAATAATGTATAACTCACATTATACCAAATGTTTGCGACCGTTTTCAAACCTAGTGAAATTTGTAATTACATTTAGGATAACACTTTATTTTAGCATTGTGCTTTTGTGCCAGAAGATATTTTGGCTTATGACGTTTTAATCTATGTTTTAACCATACACTTTTCCGATCTTTGTGGATTTTAATGATATATTTTAACTTTTAGTCATTGGACTTCCGGAAGTAATCAGAGAAACAAGCCAAGCTAACATTAGCCCTTAGCTCGTATACCCCTTCTATGTTGTTCCTGCTGGAAAAACACTGATTTGCACGTGAAAGTGTTTTAATAAGTGTATTACCTTTTTTTTTTTTTTTTAATAAAGCCATTTCTTTTGGGGAGGAGGAGCCCTGTGCGGATAATTTGGCTGCTTTTTTTACAATGAAATAATCCAAACTGGGAGAAGCAGTCTGAAAGTTGGTAAAGACAAATAAAAACATAATCCCCCATTTTGTCACGAAACCTGTCTATTGTTATTCTTTTGAGTGACAGACCCTTAGTGTTAGAAATGTATTGTATGTTTAATTAGTCTATATGAGAGTCTATATTCAATCATGGGTGACTACCATTGCATTATGTGTATAATATTCATACTCAAGTCACTGTTGTTGATGTATTCCCCCGAGGTAAACTGCACAGCTGTTTTTCATTTAATTGTTTTTTGGCTATAACCTTTAGATTGTTCTTCTCTGCATTTCCTGTCTTCAGTGTATATTGTTGTGCCTTGCCTCAGTATAATTGCTCTGCAGCGTGGGCTCCTCAAAAGCTTCTGATTGTAAAAACCTCAGAAAATAAAAACCTCCTTTTAGGTCGTCTGCACCGGGGCATGAGTCAATGTATGTGTCCAATTGTTCAGAGCAAAGAAAGAGAAAATCAGACTCTGTGATTGCTGTGGAGGGGACTCAACCTTTTCTGTTGAGGTTTTTTTTCCCACCTACTCTTCTTCACTCCCTTGTGCTATAACCGCAGGAATGGTGTTTAAGTCTTAAGCCTAGAGCTGTAAACACACACCCCTTTCCGGCACCCCCCACCCCTGTCACACTCAAGTGGTTATTTTTAGTCTTGGGGATGCAGCGCGCTCTGCCCGCATCCGGCTGCACAGAGAGATTAATGGAGCACAAGAGAAAGAGATAGAAAGGGAGCACACGTGCATACTCGCCTCATGGCTTGGAGCTTGTAGGAGCCAGTGATTGAGTGAGAAGGAGAGAAATCAACAATGACTGGTGGTGATGGTGAGGAGAGGGAGAGTGTTAGCGATGTGCATCGGTAATAAACTCTCTGTTAAATGCAAATTAATTGGAACGCCTCTTTGTGAAATGACTTACAGTATATTCAGGGATTCCATGGAGAATCACCCTCCTTAGGCGCGACTGCCTTGTCAGCAGCTAAAGTATCAGGATGTGTATTTGACT